CTGTAGTTTTCCTTTTTTTGTTGTCTTGTTTGGTTTTTTTATTAGTTGTTGTGTAATGTTGGCTTCATAGAACGTGTTGGTATTGTCCCTTCCTTCTCAATTTTTTGGAAGTTTGTGAAGGATAGGCACTAATCGTCTCTGAATGTTTGGTAGAATTCATTTGTAATCCATCAGGTCCTGGGCTTTTGTTTTTGGGGAGGTTTTGATTACCATTTCACTTTCGCCGCTTGTAATTGGTCTGTTTAGGTGTTCTATTTCTTCTTTATCTATCTTTTTAGCTTTGGGTGATTGTAGAGTTGTAGGAATTGTCCTCTCCTCTAGATTGTTAACTTGTTTCCATATAACTGTTCATAGTAGTTACTGATTATTCTTTGATTTCTGCTGTGTCGTTGTGATTTCTCCTCTTCATTGATGATCCTGTTTATTGTGCTTTCTCCCTTTTTTCCTTTGTGAGCCTGGCTAGGGGTTTGTCTATTTTATTGATTTTTTCAAAGAACCAGCTCTTGGTTTCATTGATCTTTTGATTGTTTTTTTAGTTTCAATTCATTTATTTCTGCTTGGTTTTTTTATTATTTTTTTTCTTCTACTGGTTTGGGGTTTTTTGTTGTTCTTTTTCTAGATCTTTGAGCTTCGAGATTAGGTTGTTTCTTTGATTTCTTTCTTGTTTCTTGATGTGAGCTTCTTTGCTATATATTTTCCTCTTATTACTGCTTTTGCTGCATCCCATACATTTAGGATATTGGTGTCCTCCTTGTCGTTCAATTCAAAGAATTTTTAATTTCTTCTTTGATCTCCTCATTAGTCCAGTGGTCTTCCAGTAGTGTGGTTTTTAATCTCCATGAGGTAGGAAGTTCCTTGCCTTCGTTTTATGGTTTATTTCTAGTTTGATGCCTTCATGGTCAGAAAAGATGGTTGATATGATTTCAATCTTGGTGTATCTGTTGATGTTTGTCTTGTGCCCCAGTATGTGATCGATCCGGAGAATGATCCGTGTGCGCTTGAGAAAAATGTGTACTCCGTTTTTTGGGTGGGGTTTAGTGTTCTATAGATGTCTGTTAAGCCCAATTGCTCTAGGTCCTTATTTAGAGCTTTGGTTTCTTTACTTATTTTTTGTCTTGTTGATCTATCCATTGTGATAGTGGTGTGTTGAAGTCTCCCACTACGTATGGTTTTCTCTGATGTCTATTTTCAGAGAGGAATAACAGTTGTCTGATATATTTTGGTGCTCCTTCGTTTGGTGAGTATATGTTAATGAGTGTTATTTCTTCTTGAAGTATTGTCCCCTTGATCATAATGTAGTGACCATTGGGGTCTCTTTTTATCTTTTTGAGTTTGAAATCTGTTTTATCTGATATAAGTCTAGCTGTTCCTGCTTTCTTTTTTGGTCCATTTGCTTGTAGGATTGTTTTCCATCCTTTAACTTTGAGCCTATTTTTATCTTTTGTAGCTAAATGTGTTCCTGGAGACAGCAAAGGTTGGTTTTGTTTCTTAATCCAGGCTGCCAACTCTGTGTCTTTTTATTGAAGAGTTTAGTCCATTTACATTTAGAGTTAATATTGATATGTTAGCATCTGTATTTGCCATTGTGTTGTCTTTCCTTTGATTTTATTTATTTATTCTTTTAATAATTTTTTTTGGCCTTCTTTCATTGTTATTCGTCCCTCTGAGTTCTGGCTTTAGGACTCCTTGTAGTATTTTTGGAGGGGGGTTTAGTTGCAATGAAATTCCGGAGTTCTGTTTGTCTGGGAAGGTCCATATTCTTTCTTCAAAGAGAAAGGAGAGCTTTGCGGGATAGAGAATTCTTGGTTGGCATCTGTTTTCTTGGAGTCTGTTGACTATGTCCCTCCATTCTCTCCTTGCCCGTAGTGTTTCTTCGGAGAAGTCTGATGTCAGCCTGATTGGCTTTCCTTTGAATGTTATCTGTTTCTTCCCTCTTGCCAGCTTCATTATTTTTTCCTTGTCCTGGATTCTTGGGAGCTTTACTATTATGTGTCTTGCTGTATTTTTCCTTTCGTCGTGGAAGTTTGGTGTTCTTCTTGCTTCTTTTATATCAATTTTCAGCTCCTTCTTCACATTTGGGAAATTCTCTTCAATTATCTCTTTGAATATTTTCTCTGTTCCTACATCTCTCTCCTCTCCTTCTGGTATTCCTATAACTCTTATATTTCCTTTCCTCATGGAGTCAGATAGTTCCCGAAGTCTTTCTTCGTTCTTTTTCCTTCGTACTTCTCTTTCCTTTTCTGTTTTGGTTCTTTTTATTTCTGTGTCTTCAAGAGTACTTATTCGTGCTTCCATTTCATCTATTCTGCTTTCATTGCTTTTCCCAGAATTCTTTAGTTCTTCCACTAATTCTTTGATCTCCTGCATTTCTTTTACTTCCCTCTTTAGGGACTCAATTTCATTCTTCTGACCATTGTTTTCCCTCTCTAGGGACTCAATTGCATTCTTCTGATCGTTGATTATTTTTTCCTTATCATTGTTTTCCTTTATGACTTCTGTCAGTTTTTTAATCACGGCAATTTTAAATTCTCTTTCTGGAAGGCTCAGAAGTTCTTCCAAGTTACTGTCGTTGCAATCTGGGGGCTGCTTTTCTTTTTGTGGTGTGCTTTTTCCCTGGGGAGTTGCTAGGTTGCGTGTGGTTCTTCTCCTCCCTACTGTCTGTTTTCTAATTTGCCGTATGCGTTGGGACACTGTGTAGTTGGGACTGGCCGGCATCTTGGGTGAGCTTCTCTTCTCTCCTCTGGTTCCTCCAGGAGTCATCTGTCAGTTTCAAGCAGTCTTTACTGGAGAAAGGTCCCTGTTCTAAAATGCCGATGTGGGGACACACTCCCCTGTGCGCCTGGTCTGCCCCGGCGGTGGGTTCCTGCTCCCCCTCTGGGCTTGGACTGCAGGCCAGAGGGGGTCTGGCGTGGGCGAACTTCCCCCGCTCACCTCTGGCTCCTGAGGAATCCTTCTGCAGGTAGTCTTTACTGAAGAAATGTCCCTGTTCTAAGATGGTGATGTGGGACACACTCCCTGTGCGTCCGGTCTCAGGCACACTCTTCTGCGCGCCTGGTCTGCCCCGGCTGTGGGTGCTCGCTCCCCCTGTGGGCTCAGACTACTGGTGGGAAGGGGCCCGGCGTGGGCTAACTCCCCAGCTGGCCACTGGCTCCTCTAGGCGCCTCTGCTGGCTTCAAGTCGCTAGGTGGCGCCAGAGATCTCTCCTGGAGGCCTTGGGGAGCTGATTTTCCACCCCGTGGGACAGGGAATAGAGCGGGAATGGTAGGGTAAACCTCAACGGCTTTGGGGTGCTGTGTCTGCCTTGTGCCCCACCATCGTGGGGAACCCACGCCCCTAGTTTTGTGCCCCGGGTGTCAGTTCCAAAGCCCTCAGTTCCAGGACTCAGGCTGTAGCCCAGTTCAGTGGTGCGGGAATGGCGCCTTTTGAATCCCGCTCCCGTGCCTGGGCACCTGGGCCTGCTCACTCAGTGAGGGCCTCCGCGCGTCTCCCCGCAAGCCTAGGTCGCAGGCGCAGGGACCTGGGCAGCTGCGATCTGGATCCGCGTTTGCTTTTCAACTGCACTGCTTTTCCGTGCATGATCCTGATCCACACTTGGTTTTCCAGCGCGCTGCTGTTCCGCGCAATCCTGACCGCGATCCGCGCCTGTTTTTCCAGCGCGCTGCTTTTCCGTGCAAGCTTACTGGGTGGCCCGGGGCTGTGTGCTGGTGCTGGTCTCCTCCCCGGGGGCGGGGCCTCTCTTCAATGGCGCCTGGAGCCGTTTGCTCACCTCCGCGGCGGATCCTGCGGGGTTCTCCACAGCTCCCGTTCACGGGGTGTGGTGGCTGCAATAGTTCCTTTCCACTCACAGTCCCGCTTGCTGTGTCGTTTGTTCTTGTTGGTTGTTTTGGTTTGTTTTTTCTCCCTCTCTGCTGGTCAGAGAGTGCCGCCTCTGTGGGCGGGGGAGGGGAGCAGGGTTCTGCGCTTCCCTCCCTTCTAGTCCTCTTTTATGGCCACTTTCTTCTTCTTCGGGCAGTTCGCTGGCGTCACCCGTTTATCTTCCGTGTCCCAGTTCTCACTGGGACCTGCAGCTTTTCCTCCCTATTAACTTTTTTTAATGGGAGATCTTACTCGCAGCTTCTCCTCGCCGCCATGTTGCTCCGCCCCCCCCCTCTTAATTTTAAGTTCATGCATAGGTAGACCTATTTCCTGTTGTTCAGTGTTACATAAAGTTGCATGTATTTTATCATCACAATGATGCTGTTAAATAGATACTATCATTTTATAGATAATGAAAGCAGAAAAGACAAGAAGTTAAATAGCCTGTTTAAAATGAACGTGTAAATGGTAAAGTTATCCTTTTTTGAAATTTAATGTTTTGCAAATTATATCAAGTACTTTATGTTATTGAACAATAATTCTATGAGGTAAGCACTTTTATCCTAATTTTACAGATAAGGAAATTTAGGCCTAGAGGGATTGCCCAATGTCAAATCATATTGTTGATTAACTGGAGAGTAGTAGTGCTGAATTTTATTTTTTAATTTTTTAAATCTAATTTTTTTTTTTTGCTTTTACTAGTTCTCTTTTTTAAAATTGTTTTCCATCATTGTTCATTTTTGAACAATATTTCCCCCCTTCCCCCCTGGTGTTTTCCCCATAGAATTTCCTTCACCAATGTACCCCTGTACCATCACCTCAGTTCCCTGTGCTCCTCCCTCCCTCCCTCTGATCCCTCTCCCTCCTCCTCCCCTGCAGGCAGGATATCTTTGATTTATAATTGTCTGTTTTTGTTTTGTTTTGTTTTGTTATTGTTTTTTTTAAGATTTATTTATTTATGCCTACAAGAGCTGGGTACTGGCCAGAGGTGTGGGGGGTGAGAGGATTCACCAGAGACAG